TATAGTCATTTCATCTTTATTTCCATTGCTACTTTTCTGATCCATACTCTAACAACTGACAGTAACTAACAACTTGTAACTTCTACATTTATAGATCGCGTGGTAGCCATGGGCAATGATGCCGGCCAAAGTCAAGGTACCGGATCTTGCAGGAGGACCCGCTCTGTTGGGCTTGGTTTTTGGTCGAGCATTTCGTACACCAGACCATGGCCCTACATGCTCCAGTTATTCCTGCTCCGCCCCCGATGTCGATGAGGTCAGCCGATAGCCTCCCAATCGAGGCTATTATTCAGTTCATGGAAGGATAGGATGTAGACTACATCCTGCGAGACGGAGACTACACAACCTTCATTAGGACTCACCTCATGCCACTCCTGACTAGAGTTCGCGTCGACAATGCTACAAGTGCCCCCTTTGCTGGAGATGCTACCTAGGAGGCCGAGGCTGATGTTAGAGTGGCCCCTCCCACCGTACATGAAGTCGGTTAGCTAGTGATTTCTACTGTGATTCCTTGTGGGCGACTGAGCAGGATGGCCTATCAGATCCCGATAGAGCCACCGAAGGTGGGGCACGGGTATATCAGAGCCCTGGGCGTACCTCAGGTTTGGATCACACTTGACAACATGCATCCCGCATTTTCTTTTTTAGATACTGATTGGCCAAATTCACTTGCAGACGCTCACAAAGTACACAGAGGACATTCTTCACCTGGTTGCTTCTCTAGTTCACATGGTACAGAGGAGAGAGACGTTGCTCACTTTTCACGGTATTCAGGTATATTTTCCTTCCTCTAGTGCATTGCATTACATACTCAGATTGTTGTGCACCATCCTACCCAAAACACACACTGATATGCGAAACACACACTGATACACTGTGTACTGACATGCATTCTAATACTAGTTAGCACTGCACTGATACAATACACCTTGCACACTGTACTGACACACTACACTTTGCACACTGCACTGACACATTGCACTTATACTGAATTTGTTTTATGTATCATATTCATACCGCATCATACATTTTGCAACATACTGTATCTGATACTTTGATACTTGTTTTTTAGATCCCAACTGCACCGAGGGCACCAGTGGCAGTGGCAGCACCAGCGGCACCTCCTCCAACGGCAGAGAGGAGAGGTAGACAGGCCCCAGCACGCAACCAAGATGAGCGTCGATGTCGAGGCTGGGGCAAAGGTGCTGGGGGTCTGAGCAGCGAGGCCCAGACAGAGGAGACCTCCTCCTCCTCGAAGCCAGTTTTGTGTAGGGATGATACAAAGACCAGCGACACTGAGAAGGTAGTGAGTCGATGCTCTAAGTTTGAGAGCAAGGATGATGATGCCGGCTCTAAGTCAGAGAGTGGAGATAGCAACGCCAGCTCTGGGTCGGAGTCTGATTCTGATAGTGGTGCCAACGGAGACAGTGTCCCTGAGTCCCCTCCGAGGAAGAGGACAAAGAGGGCCTCTCGAGCTTGATGTGACTGGCGCAGATTTTTGTACTCTTTTGCTTAGTTTCTTTTATTTTGGTTGCTTAGTACATGTATAGCTCCAGATAGGTCTTTACTTTTACTTTTGAAAAGACTTGTATTCTCTTTTTGTAAAAACTATGATCGGGGTAAAACCCTACAGTTTTATATGAAGAGCTTTATTTTTGCATCATGAGCACCACACTTGCAATGAATGAAAATGGAATTGAATTTGAAATCGAAAATGTTTGTATTAGAATAATGTTCTCAACCGGGTAATGAACCAACGACCAACTAAAATTCAAAATACAATTTGATAAATAGAAAACAAAGTGAAAAAAACCTAAACATAGCTATTTACACTTGCTAAAAAAAAGACTCAAAACATGACCTTAAAACACAAAGACTAGAACAAAACCAGACTACTAAATTGCCAGGCCCACAATAGTGGACGGCTGACCAGTAAATGTGGCTGGCCGGGCCAGTTGTGGTGGTTCATCAGCTGGCTGACAATTGGCATCCACGTACAGCCTTATCTTCTATAAAAGGTTTTCCTTCGCAATTTCTTCGATAGAACCCCATTTTGTTGTTGTTTCTTCCACAAATGGGGATATTCCTTGCCAAGAAGCTCAAAGATTGGATAGCTACTTTGGACAGCATGGAAAAGGTCAAATTCTGAGGTTTTGGCACAAACACACTTTTATCGTTGAGCCGTACTTCACTTTATTTTTTGTTCCTCCATGTTGCGGTCCGATGTTGGGACCCAGTTACGCACGTATTTCACTTCAGCGCACAGGAAATATGTCCAACTCTTGAAGAGTTTCAAGCATTGATGGAGTCCCGGCGAAGTGAGGAGATCATGCCTCGACCCCACTTTGGCCATGCCCAGGCTTTGGGATGGATGTGTGGGCTCACTTTGCACAAAGCTCGATCTTTGGTTCATGACGGGGAGATAGATATACCGGCTTGATTCATCAATTTTCTAACATCGACGATAGAGGTAACCTCCTCTAGCGAGGTTATCGGCAACATGCCCTCTGTCTATGTATGCTCGCGTACTTCCTTCTTGCCCCTAGTTATGGCGGAGCCAACATTAAGCTGATCGAAGTGGCCCAATGCTTGGAAGAGGATAAGAGCTGCATTGGTTTGGTGTTGGCCGAGACCCTGATGGGTTTGGGCACTTTTCATAGGCGAGAGACCACTCGGTTCACAGGAAGTCCACAGCTATTTTAGGTATTGTTTCCCACCATTTCTTACTTATGATTCTACATCACTCAGCACTCGCACTCTATTTTTCTCTCTAAGCCCTTTTCTTTACTTTTCTTTCAACGTACATCCCTCGATTCTTTAATCTCTCTTATTTTTCATCCCTTCCCAGGTATGGCTAATGCATAAGCTGAAAGTGGTGGATCCTTGCCTCGTGTATTCAGCCAGAGCTTACTTTTTTCACTAGCAGCTGCTGGATTTTCCCACAAAGGGATGGTGGTGCAACTAGATGTGGAACAGATTTACAACTGACATTGCCTAGCGTTGCCCCTGGCGTAATTTGGCTGAGATGAGCTATAGCATGTCCCGACGACCAGGCATACAGTTGATTGGCCTCACGCACTGCGTGTTCTATTTCCCTTTCTAGTTCAGATGCCAGTTTGGACATGATCAGACCCGACTAGAAGATAGGGTGGAATACCCAACTTTATTTCTCATTTGTGCCTCGTACCTGACTCGGTACCTCACTGTTTGGAGGACAAGAGAACTTCTGGCCCCTGCCCCTAGCTTTAGTTGTGTCCTTTTTGGTGAGTGCTTGGCTTGGCTTGAAGACGAGGCACAGGTTGGGCTAACTTTGACTATAGAGACTTCTGTGAGCACGAGCAGAGGATGCAGGAACACCAGACTCACCTATGCCCTAGTTTATTACTTTGACCTTTCTTTTCAAGTTTTATAATGTAAAAGCAACTTTGATTTAAATCAGAGAGTTGGAGAATGTACTTTGTGTTAAAATCAATGGAATTAAAGTTGTGAGCACTAAAATTTTCTTTTTGGTGTCAAAATGGTCTAAGTTGTAAAAGGTAAACTTTGAAGAAAATCAACTTTTATTAAAACTTTTTAAAACCATTTTTGAAAATGATCGCTACCTGACACGCACAGAATCAGCCCTTAAGATGTACAACCCCGAATCATCAGATCGCAACTGCCTATAATTGCATTCACCATACCATCCCTTCTGCCAAAATGAAGGTCACACAACCGAGCTAACAAATAATGGAGAAAGATGGCCTGATCAAAATGAACGAAAGGACAACTAAGTTGGAGATGGTTACGGCTGAACTTCGAGATGAAGTTGCCTATGTATCCCAAAGATGGGAATCAAGCCTTATGTAATTCGGTTCAGGTTCACTCAAGTATTAACTCTCTCCTTTTGCGCTCTAACTTTTGCCAAGGCCGCCATTTCGGGTTTTCAACCTTGCAAGCTCTATTTTTCTTTTTCTATTTTTTTCATGCTCTAACTTTTGCCTAGGTTTCCCTTCTTGGTTTTCGGCTTAGCAAGTCTTTCAGGGATAGTATTTCTTCAACTTGTCCATATTGATCGGCTGTGAAAACTCCAGGCCATCTAGGTCCATAAGAATAGTTGCCCCTCCTGACCAGATAGATTTGATGATGTAAGGACCAATGTAATTGGGTCAGAACTTGCCCATAGGGTCGTAGATGGGAGCTCGGTTGTCTTTTAGTACCAGGTCTCCCTCATTGAGATTTCTGGACTTAACTTTCTTGTTAAAAGCCCTAGCAATTCTACACCGGTAGCCCTAAATGTGATACAATGCCTTCAACCTCCTCTCGTCGAACAGCATCAACTCCTCAAACATGTTCTATTGCCAACCCCCGCCTCTGCTATTTGACACTCAGCCATAATTCGTAGGGATGGTACTTCAATTTCAATTGGCAGAACGACTTCCATCCCGTACACCAGAGAATAGGGGGTTGCTCCTGTGGATGTCCGAATCGACGTTCTGTAGCCCCAGAGAGCAAATGGCAATTTATCCGGCCAGTCCCGGTAGGTCTCAACCATCTTCCGCGGGATATTCTTAACATTCTTGTTAGCGGCCTCAATAGCTCCATTGGTCTGTGGTCTATATGTTGATGACTTGTGAAAAGCCACGTTATACTTCTCAAGCAGATCCACCACCTCTTTCTTGAAGTGTGAGTCGTTATCTGATATGATCTCATTCGGAACTCCATACCGGCAAATGATGTTATTTCTAATGAACTTGGCTACATACGACGCTTTCAACACCGCATAGGACTGAGCTTCCACCCACTTCGTGAAGTACTCAATTGCCACTAGGATGAACTCATGTCCACTTGACCCCTTTGGCGAGACTGCACCGATAGCGTCGATTCCCCAAACTGAGAAAGGCCATGGCGAAGTCATGTTGTAAAGCTTAGACGGCAGTACGTTCATGCGATTGGCATGAATTTGGCATTTATGGCATCGCTGTACAAAACCATTACAATCCTCCTCCATGGTTGACCATTTATGGCATCGCTAGCATCACACTATTCATGTGTGCCCCACATTCTCCTCCGTGGATAGCCTCCATGAGACGGTTCGATTCCTCTTCCTCCACACATAGCTTGTGCATTTCCAGATGACCTCTTTTGTATAGCTTATTTCTAGAGATGATAAATTGGATGGCCAGACGTTGTATTCCCCGTTTGTCCTTGGCATTTGGCCTTAGTGGGTACGTCTCCTTTTCCAGAAAGTTCCAAATATCGTAATACCAGGGGTTTTTGTCTTGAACTTCATCTATTATGGCAATGGTCTCATAGGTCGGCATGTATTTCTGTTCGATAATAACCGAACGAATCTTTACTCCCAACGGAATGTCTACCATAGAAGATAGAATTGCCAAAGCATCAGTGAACCTGTTGTTCTCTTTCAGTAGATATGTATATGTCAGTTTTTCAAACCTCAAGAATCAGAATATCCAAGGCCTGATGGTGAACCTTCATTTTCTCCTCTTTGACTTTCCAGTCTCCATTAGCTTGAGAAACAACCAAATTCGAGTCTCCAATAACATCCAACCCTATTGTCCTTAGTTCTAGGGTGGCTTCTAAACTAGCAATACACGCCTCATGTTCTGCTTTGTTATTAGACACTTTGAACCGGACTTTGATCGCTAGGGGTATATGGGAATCATCAGGTGCCATCAGCAATACACCTATCCTGTAACCGTACTGATTAGATGCTCCGTCAAAGTACATCATCCATGTTTCCTCTTCCACTTGAAGAATATCTTTATCTGGGAATAGGTACTCCACTATCACATCTCCTTCTACTGGGTGATCTGCCAAGAATTCCACCATAGCTCTCCCTTTAACAGATTTGCGCGTGACATATTTGAGATCAAATTCAGAGAGAAGAAGCAACCAACAAGCTAGCCTACCCATAAGTGTTGGTTTCTCAAAGAGATATTTAATGAGATCTAATCTTGAAACCAGAATTACGGAGTGAGCTAATAGGTAGTGCTTCAACTTCTTGGTAGTCCATACCAATGCTAAGCAAGCTTTCTCCAGGGGAGTATAGCAGGTTTCAAAGTCCAGCATGTTCTTGCTCAAGTATTAGATAGCCTTCTCCACTTTATCCTCAGATTCTTGAGCTAACATGCACCCCATGGTCGAGTCAATCACTGACAAATACAGAATTAAAGGCTTCCCCGGCTCTGGTGGCGACAACACAGGCAGATTCTAGAGGTATTGCTTGACCTGCTCAAAGGCAAACTGACATCGATTGTCCTATCGGAACTTCTTCCCTTCCTTCAGGAGACCAAATAGTTGTTCACAAGTCAAGGTTAATTTGGAAATAAATCGTCTTATGAATTGCACTTTACCCAAAAAGACGCGCACCTCCTTTTCAGTCCTTGGTGGTGACATTTCTAAGATAGCCTTAATTTTGAAAGGGTCTACTTTAATTGCTCTTTACATGATTAGAAATCCCATTATTTTCCTTGCCATTATGCCGAAGGTGCATTTTTGCGGGTTTAACCTAAATTTGTATTCCCTAATCCGTTGAAAGAATTTTTCTAGTGCGATGTAGTGGCCTTCTCGCTCTTTGGACTTGACAATTATGTCGTCCACATACACCTCAACCTCTTTGTGGATCATGCCATGCAAAATGGTGGTCGCAACCCTCTGATAGATAGTCCCAGCATTCTTCAACTTAAAAGGCATGACTCGATAGCAGTATTGTAGCTTGCTTTTCGTGCTCCTTTTGAATACAACTAGCCCAACAGTTCGGACTCCCATAGTTCTAAATCTGATTTCACAACTGCAATGTGAAATAGTGAAAACACAAAAAGAGTCCAACTTCGGCAATTCTTTTGGAAAATCGATGTTTGAATCAATTGCCAAAAATGGACTGCTTTGCCAGATTTCAGAGTCGCCACCTAAATATTTTTGAAAAATTTAGGAAACCCAAGACTCGTGCCAAAGGCCACATATCCGTCATCACCAAAGTGTCTCAGCTTGGGAACTTAAGTATGAGAGGGAAAGGTCATGAATTGAGCACTCCACTCACCCGATCAAAGATCGGCCTCTACTAATCATGATTTGATTTTTTATTTACATTATATGCTCTTGTTCCAATTTATTAGGCTATCTTACTATGTGAGACAGACAAGTATAGACTAATTTACAAAAATTGGAACATTTGATTTTTTGTTTGTTTGAAAATTATTTTGAATATGTACCACTTGAAAAAGTGATCTCATATGTATATTCATCAAATATCCCAATTTAAGCAATTAGCCTTCATCCACAAGCATTCAAAACAGGTATATCACTTAAGCATTTAGCTTCATGGAAAATATGCTTGATATGGCAACAATCACATATATGTGGTATGCTAAAGTGCCCTAAATCATGATTTTTTGAACCAACAAAGAAGGCAAGTCAAAAAAAGATGCAGAGGTGGTTATCCCGGGGTCAACCAAGCGGTCGACTGGGAGATCGACCGGTCAATGTAAATTTTTCACAAATTATGCCTTGAGGTGGTCATCCAGGGGGATATCTGGCCAGACGTCCAGTGGGTCCACACTCAATGGCTATGCACAGTGAATTATTGAAAAGTGTAAGACATCCTCAGTTTGGTGAAAGATTTGGAATGTTCTCAATTTGATACAGGTTTGATGAAACTATTGGAGACCAAAAAAGTGTACTTTTTCACCAAATTTGAACTTGGTGATGCATTTGGTTAAACGTTGGAGATGGTCTAATGAATTAAAATCTAGAGAAACTAGAGTTCTAACAAAACAAAATGAGAAAAAAAAAGTCGTGTTTCCATATATTTAATTTGAAAAAAGTATACCGTATTTAGTTTAATGTTAAATTTGTCACAAAAAATCAGTCACACTTAGAATTGGCATAATAAAGTCTAATAGTATGATCTATACAAACCTACTCCTATCATACTACCACTTTCAAGTTCCCACTCCCATTCCTTGTACTAGAAGGATCTATTCCAAGTTACATAGTATTCAACCTTGCAATACAAAAACCATAAAACCTAAGCAATAGCCAGCCTTACAAAAAACTTCCAACAAGAGAGAAGTTTTGAAACAGATCCTTACAGCCATATCAATCAACACAATGCAGAGCAATAAAAAGGAAATGTACGACCTCTTCAAACACTTTAAGCCTAGTAAGAGCCCTAGTAGCGAAAGGCTTCAAAAGGAAATGGGACAAGATCAACATGACTAGGTGTCAAGGACAAAGATCCTTGCAAGACTAAAAGAACCTGCGATTGGGTTTCCCAGATCGATATACTATTTTTGCCTTCGGTGATGCCTGACTAAACTGCATCAACTCCTCTGAGATTTTGAACCCCTTATTTGCACCTAGTTTTTCATTGTACTCAACAAGCATCATCTCAAGCAATGGAGAACACACAAGTATACACTTAATGAAAAGCAATTCAACACTCAAACTGTTTATATAACTTATGATCACAGCTTGAAGTTTGTTTGGCATCTAGTCTATGCAGTCTAGTGCTTCCAAATAACTTGAATCTGGTTCCATTGCATTGTCCCTAACTGGAAAGGCCTGTAAGAACGATAATTGCAAAACAATTCTCTTAAATCTTTTTTCCTTAAATACAAAGATCAATTTCTCTATAATGTTTCAAAAATCTCACCTATATATGAACTTTCCGCAAGTTAGGAGAACTTTTGAGCAAACAAAGAGCACATGACATCTAATCCAAATCATCAAATCTTAATTTAAACAGTAGAAGATGCTTCAAGTGGTTAAATGTAATGGAAAGCCTCCTTGGAATAGTACCTGTAGCCAAAAGCTTTGAAACAAACAAGAAGAAATGGGAATTGGCATACATGTTTCCAATGTGTGAACCAAACCAAAAAAAAAACCTTGCACTCACCTTAAGGAAAAATCCATCAAAACCAAATTTGAAATTCTAGGCAAATTAACAAGAAACTTGCTCAAATTGATTGCTTTGCCTTGCCCAGGATTTCCAGCTTCAGTGTCTGGCACAATAGAGAGCAAGGTTAGGTTTGGAAAGCTTTCAAAATAGATTATTGTAACATCGCAACTACGGTAGCAAAGAACGGTTTTTAGTTTTGGAGCATGGACATTAAAATGTTCAATGCCAGTACAACTTATAAACTTCAATCTCTCAAGCAATGGGGCACTGAGGACAACATTCTCAAATATGTTAGATCCAAATACTACTTTCTCAAAGTGAAGTGTAATGAGTTTACAAAAGACTCCAAACGGATGTAGTGGTTTGAATATACAATTACAGAGCTTCAAATGGGTCAATTCTAGGTAAGAAAAGACATAAGAAGGTAGTTTATATGGATCAACATTCCGATTGTCCAGGGTAAGTTCATTGACACCATTACTTGACAAGAATAATATCCAGTGATAGATATGTAGATCCCAGTTGTATGTTGTGTCCGGAATGTAGAGAATAAATTTTGGTATGGGACCATTATGAAGAAAAAGAATTTTACTGATTATTCTCATAAATGTATCTCCCCAGGGTGGTTTGTTTCTTATGTTCTCTTAAAAGAACCGCTTATCAAGCACAAGTTGCGGATGTTCAGACCAAATATACCTCCATTTTCTTGGCAAGAGACTTATTAGATGCATGCAACTTAAATTCATTCTAGACATTCTAATGCTCACTGGACACGTGTGTGAAATATTAACTCATGTTCTGATACCACTGTCAAGACCCAAACTTGCCCCTAAAGGTTTAGGCCATGACAGACCTATAATTAGGCCTCGAAGACAAAATTTCAAAAATATTTAATTAATATCAAGACCTGAAGAGAAAGCAAAACAAAATAAATAATGTCCATTAAGCTGTGCATACACGATCAACTGTAATAATTAAAACATTCCTGACACACTTTTAATATATACATATACGAAGACATATCCTATACGTATCTCACACACTACATAAAGGACTTTTAACAAAATACAAAGGTTAACCAAAGCTCGATAAAAGCAAAAATTAAAGCCTCAACACGGAGGCACACTTGGGTGGCTTGACAAAAGGGCGAACTATAGCGATCCCGGTTTTGACCCGACTCTTGTGGTATTCCGGACTCGGGTTTAATGCTTTCATATTGTTGTTTACCTCATTCCTCCCTTGTATCTCTTGAAATTGGCCTTTGGGTTGTTGTGGTTGTGTTTGGAACAGGTTGGTTACTTGTTTTTCCAAACCTTTATTGCCTAGATCTTTGCTCCTCTGCCCGAGTGGCCATTCTTGCGCTCGAGTGGGCTTTGCAATGTTTGCTCCTCCACTCGAGCGGCATTTCTCGCACTCAAGCGGGATTTGTGAACTCTCAATACTTTACAGGTCTACAAAACTACTGGGAGAGTGTTTTCTATGCTCGAGCGGCATTTCTTAGGCTCGAGCGGATGAGCGCTCGAGCAGCCTTTCTTGCGTTCTAGCATTGGTTCGTTGTCTGCAAAACTTTTGGATGTGTGTTTTCTATGTTTAAGCGACAAATTCTCACACTCGAACAATGAGCATTCATTGTGTCTTGGCGCTCGAGTAGCCTTTCTTGTGCTTGAGCGAAATAATTTATTGTGTCTGACGCTCAAGCGTCAAATCTCCCACTTGAGCGGACTGTGCATATATCAAATCGCGAAAGTGACATTTTATATCACTTTTCATTCTTCTTTCTCTCTAAAACTTTTCAAAAACCTAGATCTTAACTCTCTCTCTCTCTCTAAAATACTCTCTCTCTCTACTTTTTCTCGTAGATCCATTGGTCTCTCCGCCCTAGTGTCTTTGGGAAATGGGTAGAGCACCCTAAAAGCTTTATTTTGATCCG